CCTAAGGCTATGGCTGAAATGATGGCTGAGAACTATCATAACATATGGGCGAAGAAAAAGAAGATGGAACTGGAAGCAAAAGGTTTGTTCAGTGCAGTGTCTTAAGTTCTGAAGCATGAGTGCCTGTCTTAATTATGAGCTTAACACATAAACCTGAAGAATATCAAGGTAAAAATAAAACTGTGGTTTAAAATTGACCAAAATATCAGTTGTCCAGAGGAGGAAATTGGTCCCACTTATAATTTTCAACTTACATAATTATTGTTCTTGGATAATAAAAAAAAGAAGTGAGAAGGAAAGGGCAAGGCTAACTCAGTTAAAGCTTAATAGCTTGATAGCTGGGTAAATAGGTGCTGATGACATAATATTGGGTGGCATTATGAATACAGAGGAGGATCAGGACATCATAAAGAAAGAACTGAAAGAACTTAAGGGTGGATGTAATAGAAATGGGATGAAATTCAGTACTCATACTGTTTTTTTTTTTTTACTTTTTTCCCTTGCAATATGTACTGAAACTCTTGTTCACAGGGATTTGACATGCTTTTTGCATTGCTCTAAATTGCTGAGTGAACCAGCAGTGTATTAACAGTAAAATAGATCAATTACACATGAGATTGACAAAGTAAGCCTAGAGTAGATGCTTTATTTTATAAAGAGCATAGTGTGCTTTTTCGTCTCTCTGAATGCAGATGGCGAATATTACTGACTTACTTCTTATTTTCTTCTTTAAGTAAAGTTAAAGCTGTAAATCACATTTTTATTCAACTATTAGCTGTGATGACCAATATGTTATATTGTAGATGCTAATAACACCAACCTCTATGCACTCTTCAAATCAGAGCAGCGATTGAGGCTCACACTGTAACCTTTGATCTGAATCCAGCTTGTGGGACTTTGTCATCCAGCTCACATTGCTCCCCATGGGTTTAGAAATTTGACAGTGGGAGAACAGTGGCAGCTTTAATTACCATGGGTTCCAGAGCTGCAGACCACACTGATAAATGGTGTTGCTCTGTAGCTGGATCTGGGCTGGTGCATGAGGTTACTGTGCAGCTGCATCTAGTATGTGGGGCCAGGTTGGCATGCCAGATTGCACCTGTTGACTGACCCTCCATACCAATTCCATGCTGGATCTGGCCTGTGGACCAACCCATGGGGGATCCAATGCATGGACTAGTTCGAAACCACTCATTTAGCCTGCAGGGCCAGAAGTTTGAGGATCATTGAATTAAAAGAATTACAGGCATGCAGTGTCTTATGAAGTGTGTGTTTTTGAGTCAGTTGTATGTGGTCTGGCAAATGGAAAAGAGGCATCAATTAGGGTTCTGCTTGATATAAAGTGTGCATAGGTTTTGCTGCTGAAGAGTAAATAGACCAAAATAATCCAAATTGCAAAAAAAGGTCATGTATGTACAGTAGATTTATATTGTCTTGAATAACTTTTACATTCCTATTTCAGAAAGATCTTTCAAATTATGATCAACTGCTGTCACCTAATGGCCAAATACATTCAATGCACTCATGTTAGAAAGAGTTTTTTTCTTAGAAATATGGCTCTTTCCAAAATCCGTAATCATGAAAAATACATAATTTTAACATAAAAAAAAGAAAAACACAAAGAAAAAGAAGTTAACTGCATATTTATTGATTTGCATGAATAGCCCATTGATTTACATGGGACTGCTTGTGAAATTCAAGTGTAACTTGTGCACAAATGTTTGCAATCCAGAACTAAAGAATTATTTTCCTGATTTTTTTTCTTCATGTCTAATACAAGTATGTGTTTTATTCAACTCTTTTCACATTTGTACATACTTTACATGACTGGAGATTGCTTGCGATGGCAAAAGTGGACTTTTGCCCTAAAATGCATAACCTCTACTTAATGATGAAAAACTCAATGGGTTGTTCTATAGTCTTATGACTTGCATTGTTTTTTTTTGTCTGCCTACAGATGGTTTCCTTTGGTAGTCTGCCTGTGTCAGTAGTATTTTCCAAAGGTTATTTGCTTCCTTCAGATTTCTGGGGGTTTGGCTATTCTTTAACAGAAACAGCTATTCTTTGGAACTTTATAATAAGCTCCACAGAAAATAATTATGATCTGTGACAGAATGGTGACTTTGGATGAAAAATAAATAGTAGGAACTGACATATTCTCACCTCCAGAAAATACCTCAAAGATCATAGCTTTTTAAACAAATAGGTTTAGTAGTAATGGCTAACATATAAATTTACCTTCATCAAAAAGTAACTATTTGTAGTCAGTGAAGTGTCATTAAGTTTAATCTTTAATGTTTTGCATTTTGGGGTTTTTTTTCCCCCATCACAATTTTTTGGGCAGAAAGATCAGTTTTCTGAATCAGTGCTGTTAAAATTCTGTACAGAACACTTTGTTGGTATCATGGTAATATAAAAAGCAAACTGCTGCTTCTAAAAGAAAGAAGTTTCTTAACTAGTGTTCTTATGCATTTTTCTATTATTTCTTCCAATAATGTTCTCATATTATTTTAAAGCTAAATGAGGGTCTTGCTACATGTTATACTTAGGATGAGGTAACTGCTCCTAAATTGCTAGTGTCTGAGTGTTCAAGCAGTAAAAACATGTGTTAAATGACATCATAGAATAACTAAGTTAGGACTTTTTTGGTAAGGAGTATTTCCAGATCATGTTACATAATGTGTGGTGACCTAAAGTCTACCCGTTCCATGAAGGTAATATGATAAGGAGACACCAGTGCTATGCAGGGGCTGGGACTGGAAAACAAGTGTTTGTCACTTCCAGCTCTCACAGTATACCACATTCTTCAGTGGCTTTGGCTCTTAGGACATGTCTTATTTAGAATATAGTAAGCATTACTGTAAGAATGCTTAGAAAACTTTTTAATTCAGTAATGCTTACTACACTGTAAATAAAACACATCTTAAGTATAACATGTGATAAGGCCCTGAAACAGTACAAAAACTATGACTTGTAACAGTGGGCATTTTCATTCTCAAACTGAAAAGGGTAAAGAGATAAGAGAGGAAAAAAAATTAAGTTTAAAAACTAACTAGACCAAAACTAGTTTTAGCAATGAGGGAGGTATGTTCTGAAAAATATAAATTAACCGTAAAAGTACTTTTTCCCTATCAGAATAGAGTTAAAGCAAAAATGATACCATTCCTATTATGATATATACAGGTGCTTGTAGTACATGAGTTTTTTGCAAATATGCTTGTAGTCATATTTATAAATATACTTTAAAAGTATATTCACACAAGCTGTATAAAATGGTTTGTGTAAAGAAACAGAGAAGTAAATTATTAGTGTTTTAGGGTAAAGAAGAAATTATCATCATCTTGCTGTTTAGAGTGCCTTATTAAATACTTATCACAGCATTGTTATAAACAAGGAAGTGCCATCTCACCAGATGTTTTATAACTAATCTTTGATTTATTTTCTTGACATTCCTTAGTAGGAGGAGGCAACCATCCTCTACTAGTTCCCTATGATACACTGACAGCCAAAGAGAAAGCAAAGGACAGAGAGAAAGCACAGGATATTCTGAAATTTCTGCAGATCAATGGCTACGTTGTCTCCAGGTAAATTGAAATACAATACTGAGTTAGTTTTACAATGAATGATATAACTCCCTAGTTTCTTGTTTTATATGAAAGGAGATAAAATGAGCTCTAAGCATAAGTGTTAAGTCCCTGAGGACAAGATTCTGTCCTGGCCCTTACATGAATAGAAACAGATTTAGATTTTTCCCCAAACTCCAATCTAAAGTAAAGCACAGGCAGAATTTTAGTCTCTGGAAACTGGGGAGTTTCAGGGGATGCTCTGCCTTTCTTAGTGAGCCTCCCTCAGTGCACTCTTCCTATCTTCTCCAAGATAAGGCTGCTTCCTCATGGCAAAGTGGATTCCTGTAAAAGTTAACTAAAAATAGGGTGACTTTATGTGTATTAAGGCGCAGCTTTCACCCTGGTGAGCCTTAACACACACACTGACATCCATGTCATGAGTTTTGCTTGTCTGCAGCTTGAGGTACACTTTCCTCCAAACAGCTGCACCTATCTCCTTGAAACTTAGCAGGCTTTATGGCCTCTGCAGGGGTAGCATGCCTGCAGTTTTGACCCTGCTGTGGCTTAACACATACACATGACATGAGCTTTGCTTTCAAGAATTTGGGGTGCAGTTTTCCAGAAACATCTGAACCTATCTCCTTGAAACTTGGCAGGCTTTGTGGTTCCAGCAAGTGCTACCAGCCCTGCAGTTTTCATCCCTTGTGGCTTAACACACACACGACACAAGTTTTTTGCTTTCAGGACTTTAAGGTGCAGTTTCCCAGAAACCCCTGCACCCATCACCTTGAAACTTGGCACACATTATGCTCTCACCAGAGGCTACCATTTTTGCAAGTTTTATCTGAATAAAGAAAAAGACAACAAAGTTATAGATATTTCATTGATTCCCCATTGGGGGAATCGCCGAATGGCTGAATCGCCAAATCTTTTCCAAATCGATTCGGAAAGCCTAAAGCTTCCAGCAATTCGATTTGGATTCGTCGATTTGGCCTCTGAATGATCTGAATTGTTTCTGAATCTGAATAGTGATCTGAAGCTTTGCATAGCCCTATCCATCATCTGTAAGGAGCTCAGCATGTTGTAACAAAAGCTCCTTTGGGTGATTTCTGAGCACCTGGTATCCAGAAGAGATTCCACTGACCTCAGGGTTCATATTTTCCAGATCTTGTTCCCATGGCTTGGCTTGATGTCTCACTGGGAGTCTTGCCTCACAAGCATTTTTGATAGGACAGATCTCATGCCTTGTCTTGACTACTAAGTCCATCCCACATCCCTCTGAATCTTAACTCTCACAGTTACCTTGGTGCAGGCCTTAGGGTAATTTTCCCCCAGTGAATAAAAATAGCATTAGGTGAATGTGAATCATCTGTCAACAAATCTTAAATGACTGAGAACAGATAACCTCACACCTGAAGCTCAGTCATATAAGCCATGAGTGACATAATGGAGTGTTTTTCAAATCCTAAATCTCAACTCTGACCTGGCTGTCAGCCTAGCTGCTGACTTAGCTAACTGCCTGTAGATCAGTGCCCTGTGGACTATCCACAGATCCTGGCCTTGACTTTGTTTCTAATGTCTCTTGCAAACACAGGCAGACAAGTTTATTTCACACACTTGCCTGAGTAATCCAGTAGTAGTCCCAAGGAATCCATTGTAGTCCTTATGACATTTCCAGCATCCGATTACCTAGCCCCCGTGGGAAGCAAGTCTTTTTATTTTCACAGTTTTTATTGTCCCTGGTTCATAGAGTCATAGATTCATAGATGTTAGGGTCGGAAGGGACCTCAATAGATCATCGAGTCCGACCCCCTGCATAAGCAGGAAGGAGTGCTGGGTCTAGATGACCCCAGCTAGATACTCATCTAACCTCCTCTTGAAGACCCCCAGGGTAGGGGAGAGCACCACCTCCCTTGGGAGCCCATTCCAGACCCTGGCCACTCTAACTGTGAAGAAGTTCTTCCTAATGTCCAATCTAAATCTGCTCTCTGCTAGCTTGTGGCCATTATTTCTTGTAACCCCCGGGGGCGCCTTGGTGAATAAATACTCACCAATTCCCTTCTGTGCCCCCGTGATGAACTTATAGGCAGCCACAAGGTCGCCTCTCAACCTTCTCTTTCGGAGGCTGAATAGATCCAGTTTCTCTAGTCTCTCCTCGTAAGGCTTGGACTGTAGGCCCTTAACCATACGAGTGGCCCTTCTCTGGACCCTCTCCAGGTTATCCGCATCCCTCTTGAAGTGCGGCGCCCAGAATTGCACGCAGTACTCCAACTGCGGTCTGACCAGCGCCCGATAGAGGGGAAGTATCACCTCCTTGGACCTATTCGTCATGCATCTGTTGATGCACGATAAAGTGCCATTGGCTTTTTTGATGGCTTCGTCACACTGCCGACTCATGTTCATCTTGGAGTCCACTAGGACTCCAAGATCCCTTTCCACTTCCGTGCCACCCACCAGGTCATTCCCTAGGCTGTAGGTGTGCTAGACATTTTTCCTCCCTAGGTGCAGCACTTTGCATTTCTCCTTGTTGAACTGCATTCTGTTGTTTTCTGCCCACTTGTCCAACCTGTCCAGATCTGCTTGCAGCTGTTCCCTGCCCTCCGGCGTGTCCACATCTCCCCATAGCTTTGTGTCATCTGCAAACTTGGACAGAGTACATTTCACTCCCTCGTCCAAGTCACTGATGAAGACATTAAAGAGTATCGGGCCAAGGACCAAGCCCTGCGAGACCCCACTGCCCACACCCTTCCAGGTCAAAACCGACCCATCTACCACAACTCTCTGGGTGCGACCCTCCAGCCAATTCGCCACCCACCGG